TCTGGATATTCTTGCTGTGAGGCAACAGTGCTCACTACAGTGCCACCCTCTTTATGCTCACTTACCCCAGGAGGCAAGGAGGCTCACCCAACTGTTGTCAGGGATCGACTCGGGGGACAGTGGCAGATGGGGAGTCTGACTGGGTCAGTACACCTGAGAAACTTTGATGCAGGTTTGCTATGGTGAGCTCATGGAGGACACAAATCTCGCATGGAGCAGTAGACAAAATCTTGTTTGGATACTGATTTCTTCATATTTGTTTCTCTTATATTTCCATCCTGTCTGTCTTTTGTGAAGCAATTTGAAATGCATTCGATTATTTTTTAAAGTGCCTTAATTTTTTTAGTTGAATGTCTTTTTCCCCCCATTTGCAACCTTTCAAAGAGATTACGAAAAGATGTGTTCCTATCCTGAATATGGCCTTGTTGGGAGCTTGAAGCATGGGTTTGGTGACTATCACTCCCACTGGACATCAAAAATTAAATGAAAATAAAAGGCACAATGTGTAACAGGGCATTTGTACTAGAATAAGTCTTTGAAGTCAACCTGCCAGGCTGGACAGTGTGGATTAATGTCTTTGTCCAGGGCTTGCAGGCGTCTCTGCTAATGATCCATTCAGAGCCATGGGAGTCTTTGGTTGGTACAAATAACTGTTATTTACTGCCTCATTACAAATGAAATCTATAGCTGGAAGAGTGGAGAAAAAGAAATAAAACCACCACACAGCTGCCCACTGCAGAGTATCACCTGATGTGTGTTTTTTTTCTTTTAAAATAGCAAACTACAGCTTTTTGTAACAGAGAATAATGTACATTTTATCTTCAACATGGAGGCTGGCTTTGTTTATAACATGAACCTATTGTTTTAAACAGTAGCTTTACTTTTACATTATATTATAATGTAAAATGACATTAGAAAATCTAGAAAAAGTTTATTTTTCATACCTTTGTGCACGTTTATTGGAAGCAATCATCTCAAAAGTAAGAATAAAAATCCAGTTGTTACTAGTATTAGTGTTTTAAAATCAGGCCATATTACCTCGGATCCCTACATTTGCCACTTTACAAACCTGAAGTTATTAATGCATGACAAAGACATCAGTCAACACAAGGCATGTCTAAAATTACTGTCATGCACATTACACAAGCAAAGACTCCTACCCCCCGCCTTTCG